CCAAAAAAAAAAAAAAATGCAGTAATTATTGTTTATCTGGCAACACTGTCATCATGTCTAGATGCCAAAAGGCAGTGTGCTGCTGTCACGCTTAGCTGTTGAACAAGGGTACCTAACAAACTGACTGGTGTGTAAAGCTCTGATCTATTGAATCATATCTGATGCTGTCCTAAAAACTATTTTACGTTTCTTTTGCTCGGAGCAGAAGTTTCAAAGTGTGTCCAAAATGGATGAAGGAATGTACCGCTGTGAGTCCTCCAACAGTGTGGGAGCGCCTAAGAGCTGCGTGGCTCAACAGCTGAAAGTTATAGAATGTAAGTATTCATGTAAAAAAAAAAAGACGTCATTCATTTGTACCTGTAAATCATTCTCTATTGATAAAAACTGAACACAGTGAAACTATTTTATTTTCCAGATCCTTGGAATATGACCATGTTAATAGCAGGCGCTGCAGGATTTGTGGCACTTTTCCTTTTGTGCTGCATCAGTGTTTGTATCTGCCGCCGCCGAGGCTGCTGCAAGAGTGAGTACTGAGATGGTACCAATGTTGGGGTTGGAGCTGAGAAAATCTCTGCCCTTTATACTCGTTTGTACAAAGTCATGAAGGCATTTTGAATGAAACCTTAAATTAAAAAAAGTGGTAAATATGAGATTTCAGTCTGAAATCCACTTTTTTATATAGCCTCTAAGCCAAATGTCCAATTTCCTCCTGCTCCTGTTTTTTTCTGTTGACTGTAGCTGTTTAATACAAGATCAAAATTCAAGTATTTCTATAAATACTAGTAGAAAATGGTCCTTCTGTGCAGAGCCTATGTAGATGGGTGACTGAAGACTGTGCTGGAACATGTTTTGGTGCTCATTAGTAGTCATGAATCATTCTGAAAAACTTTTACAGCATCAATAAACATGTTTTCAGGCAGGTACAAAATTTTTTTTGGTTACCTTTATGAGACTTTTAATAAGTATGTATATTTTTAATTACTGTACAAACGTTATGTACAATTAAGGATGTACATTGTGATAGCTCGAGATCTTTTCTGACACAAATGCCTAAAAAAAAAATCCCAACATGGTCACAATTAAATTTAAAACTGAGATGAATAGCTTTGAGCTTTTCAAGTGAGGTTCTGTGGAAAGATTATGAACAAATAATATATTACCTGTTGTAGATAGCTCTTTGAATGACATCATTTTGAAGACATTTGAATTTGAACTTGTGATTCCTGGTTAAGTAAGATTTTTGGGCCATTTATTAATTGTGTATTTAAAACACTTTAGATTTATGCAGTTTTTTTCTTCATTCAAACTTTCATATAACCCAATTTAATGTATATTTCAAACATGCTATCATTCTACCACTGCATTAAGAAATTAAAGATTTTGGAGCATCATGATTTAACAAAGCTTGACTGGTTTTCCATTAGGCAGTGACGTTTTTCAGTCCTCAGTAAACAGTATTTTAAAAGACATGTCTACTTACTCCTCAAAGAAATACTTCAGTAAAACACATTTTCTCAGGGAGCAACACGGAGCTGGAACTGCCACTGACTTTAAAGAGCTGTTTAATTGCACCTCCAGGACAAGATTAGCACTGAGGATTACAAACATGTTTAATTAGGTGATTATTATCTTAAGCAACAGATTTTTAATTATTTCTCCCCCTCTCCTCCCCTTGAGAAAGCATAAGCTTATGTGTTAGCTAAAACCCCTCTGGCTAAAGTTTCACACCAAAAAAAGTTAAATAAAAGGCACAGAAAAACACTGACCATTAAACAACTTTTACAATATAAAACTCTTTCTTCATTCAGAGGATTTTTTAGGATTTTTAAATTAATTGTTTTGAAGATACGACCTTCAGCTTTATAGTTTTATTGGTTCTCTTATCACTGTTTCCAGCAGGCACTTATTTTTAGTGATAATGCTCCATTTAATTCACTTAAGACCATCAAGAACAAGTAACAGGAAGACGCATCTGGCCACCACTTGGTGAACATAGAGAAATACTAGAAAGCTCCTGGAGAAACTTTGACAGGGACTGCCAGGCTGCTGCCAATTAAAAAAAAAAGATTTGACAGTACTATCGTACTTGCTTGTTGAACCGCCATATAAGTCATATCAGTCCAAATATGTCCAATAAAGTGGAAAAACATAAATAAGTTGCTTCGCCGTATAAGTCGCATCTTTTATGCGTCACCATGACCTGGAAACGTGGGACAGTGTTGTGCCAAAAATCGATTGGCTGCCAAATGGTGGCTGCGGGAGTGTGCACAGGAGGACTTTAACAAGAATTTAACAAGATAACCACCTAAAAACAATTATTTGTTTGCTCACAATTATAGTAAAGGTGTGTCTCAGTTGAACATTTCCTTAATAAATGCATATTAATGGTCAAATCAGATGCATTTCACCTGGGCGGTGCGCTGAAATGCATCTGATTTGATGTTTGCTCCAGGAGTTCCAGAGCGAGATGAAGGTGGCTCTGTATGGCAAGCCAAGTGTGTCATTTATAGACAGTTTTATCTATTAATGAGACACTTGGCGGGCAGCACGGTGGCGCAACTGGTAGAGCTGCTGCCTCTCAGCGAGCAGGTCCTTGGTTCAAATCCTGGTCCAGGGGCCTTCTGGGTGGAGTTTGCATGTTCTCTCTGTGCATGCGTGGGTTTTCTCCGGGTGCTCCGGTTTCCTCCCACAGACCAAAAGCATGCATGTTAGACTGATTGGTAACTCTAAATTGTCCCTAGGTGTGAGTGAGAGAGTGAATAGTTGTTTGTCTCGTTTGTCTCTATGTGGCCCTGTGATGGACTTGCAACCTGTCCAGGGTGTACCCCGCCCCTCGCACAGTGATTGCTGGACATGGGCACCAGCGACCCCGTGACCCAAAATGGAATAAGCGGGTAAAGAAAATGGATGGATGGATGGAGACACTTGGCTTGCCATATAGTTTGAGGGCCCTCTAGTGGCTGAAAATTATATTGTTTTCTATGTTAGAATGAATGAAATCGTCAGATCTCAGCAAAAAATTGGTTATAAATAAGGGGGAAAAAAACATAAATACGCCGCGCCGCTGTATAAGTTGCAGGAATGCTAATCTACTGTATGCAAAAAAGCTGTGACTTATACAGAGAAAAATACAGTATGTGTTGGGATTCGCTCTCAGCTACCACTATACCAAATTTCTGCTGAATAGCTTTAGAAATGGCTGAGTTATAGTATTTTTTCCTTTTTAGCTAAGGCGTCCATCTTGGATTTTTGATTTGGATTCAGTACGTGATAGGGAACCTTCTCAGCTATAACCTCACCAAATTTCAGTTCTGTATGTGTAAAAATGGCTTTTAAAAGTACAGTTGGCGGCCATCTTTGAATTTTTGATTTAGATGCAGCATTTGATGGGCAACGTCCTCAGCTACCATCACAACAAATTTCAGCTCAGTATCACTGAAACTGGCCTATTTTTTTTTATACTATCTTCCTTTTTTGCTCAGGCGCCCATCTTGGATTTTTGATTTTCAGAGTCAATAGCTAGTTCCCAATTAGGCTCCCAAAAGAATCTCTATAGCAAAAAACGAGAGCAAAGTGAATAACTTGTTGAAGTCCTGCCAGCAGATGTTGAGGTAAACTTGATGAGATTACAGCTGCTGAATCTAATCCAGTCTTTTCTGTTGTGTTTTTGAATAGAGAGCAAGAAGACAAAAAGGTAAGTGTGACACTATTTGAACATTTACTCTGCTTTCTGCACCTTTTATCTTATTTTGTGTTCATAATGAACTGTCATCCTTTCAGCTCCAAGCCTTACAACCCTCCACCTCCTCCTCCTCTTCCTCCTCCCAGCCGAAACGTGAGTGGGCTGTTATTGTGTCAGGACTAGTTTTGCTCACATTAATTTGATTTTGACATTTAACACTGTTGGCAATTTGCAGGCGCTGTTGGCTAATTAAAGGAAATGGTTGGATGTGTTTCTCTCCACAGCTCAAGCACTACAGACAAACGCAGTCCTTCATGATCTGAGGGTGAGCGTACAGTTCGACTCTGCATCCAGAAACGTTGCTTTTTGGATGGACTCTTTGTGTCCAACTCGCAGATGGAGAGATGTCTGAAGAGCAGCGTCATGGAGGACGTCTCAACCTTTTTTTCATTCATACAGTTGTGACGCTGCACATACAAATGTACACATTCATCCCCTTTTGAAACGCTGTAAGATATTTGTTATAAAACAATTTGCCTTTTTTTGTGTCAAGATGGATTCTCTATGTGTAAAAAAATGATTTTTAACATCTTAAATATCAGCTTTATATCTTTAGGTCTACTGTCAGTGTTTTTAGCTACATTTATTTTGCCATAACTGTACATAAAATGTGACTTTATACTTCATTTATACTAAGATGTAGTTTTTTATATGACATTATAATATTTTTATAGTCCTGTTTGTATGTGATCTTGTGCTATTTTTATCTGTATAAACTTTATACTCGTATAAATTAAGGGTGGAACAGGTGTCTGCACACACTGAATGGTTTTTGAAACATTTTTTACTCTTATTTTGACAAATTTACCACAATAAAGCCATAAAAATCTGAGAAGAGTGTGTAAGCTTTATTTTTTTCATTTACAGGGACAGAAATATGTGATGTCTGTTAACGTCAGCACGCTCAGCATGGTGTGGCGTCCCAGCTGCCTCACAGTGGTCAACACCGTCCTTTGGTTTATTTCTAGTAGGGATGCATGATTTTGGATTTTTGGCCGATATCTGATATGCCGATATGTTAAAACTTATTTGGCTGATTACTGATACCAAAATTTCATATACTTTCCTTTGTCAGAACATAGCCCTCTTATTTAAGCTTATTTGATACAAAAATTGTGTAAGACCTGGTAACATATTTTCAGTAACAGCCACATGCATAGCACTTTAACTTATATTAAATGAAAAGTGTTAAATGCTATTTATTAACATCAGTCACCTGTGATGCTGTCTCACTTGTGGAGGCTTGTTCCAGGTTCCTAGCTGCAGTGTGGGATCCACTGTGCTCTTGTGCATGAAGGACAGACTTTTTAAGTTCAACGTTTTTGTCTTAACCATTGTGCCGTAAGACTAATCATGCTAACGGGGCTAACATGACGTCCAAATGTCTGTGGTCAAACCCACCCAAGTGCTATCAGCTATTAACTTCTCAATGATGTTGGAAATGACGGCTTGTAACTCGGATAAGGCTACGTCGGAAAAATATTTCTGACTGGGGATAAGTGCACATCATTACCATATTTTTTGGGACTGTCAAGTAATTAAAACTTACTGGAAGGAGATACATAAGGCAATACAAGATATTATTGGAAGTCAACTGCCTCTAGAAACTAAAGTTTTGTTTTTTTGGACTCATGCTTGAAAGATGGTCAACGATAGACAAATATTTGTTCAATATTTTATTAGTGGTGTGCAAAAAAGCCCTCACAAAAAATTGGCTTTCACTGGAGAGCCCAACGTTGAACATATGGTTGGACATCACAATGGACATATACAGGATGGAGAGAATAACTGCAGACGTAAACGATGAAAAGGACCGATGTAGTTTACGCTGGAAGAAATGGATGGTTTATATATCGATTGTAACAAAAAACACTTTCACTCCCTTTGTGTTCTTGTTTATGTTGTGTTATTTTTGTTGTTTAAAAAAAAAGATATTTAAATGCATACAGTAGTCCCTCATTTATCGCGGGGGGTCAGTACCCTGAAGAGCCGCGTTAAGTGAAAAACAGCGAACTAGAAATATTAGTACAAGCAGTAAGTAGTAGTTTATTTTTGTGTATGTATATATATATATACACAAAGTATATACAACAGCTCAAATGTAAACAAAATGCTATGAATATTGGTCCCCAACTGAACCGAGTCTTCTGGACTATCAGGTGTGAAACAACCTAAATCTGCAGTTTATTTAAACAGGCAGTTCCCACTGAGATCACAGATATTTTTGCAAGGGAGGCCTGGACCTGAAGGCAGTCTAACAAATATGTTTTGGACTGTGGGAGGAAACTTACGCAAACATGAGGAGAACATGTGACTTCAAAACAGAAAGATCCCAGGCCAAAATGAGAATTGAACCAGCACCTTCTTGCTGTGAGGCAACAATTGCTAACCACTAATCCTATTCTGGGTTAAACTACAAGGTACAGTAGAATAGCTTTGCTTTTTTTGCTTGCTATGCAAGAAAGTTGTCCTTCTGACAAAATCTTAATGCCAGAAGATTATAAAAAAATGACCAAAACATTATTTTTGTCATAAAGACAAACAAACAAACAAACAAACAAAAAAGAACTCCTTTCTGTCAGAATCATAGTTTATCTTGAACACCAGAGGGCAGCAAAAGATTTACTGTATGTCCACCTACGTGCAGATGCCAGAAGCTTGCATGATGCCAGCCATTATCCATTATTTGTCTTTGAACAATGCCACAATTGTTCTCCTCCTTTTGTACTCATTGTTCTTCTTACTGTGGTGGCTATACATTTAAAATCCTGGCATGTTTTATAAAATCCTACACAATCTTTTTAATGCTTTGAAAATAGACACTGCATGTGATCTAAAACTCTGACATGCTGGTGTTAAAGCCTAAAATGTATATGCATTTAGTCTCTAAAAAAGAACAACCTGTAGAAAATAACAACAATCTATTGACATAAATAATATCCTTCTGCAATGACAGAAAGTGGAGTGTATTGATCTCCAAACACGCCTGCGTGACACAAAAGCAGATTTTTTTTTTCCGGTTAGTTCCAGTGGCTGCAAACAAAAGACATCGAGTGTGCTCGAAAATGCAAATGTGAATATTCTGGCAGTTTGTCAAAGTGTGGGAGAAATGGTATCCTCCGTAGGAACAGCTTTTGCGTTTAGCATAATGACAACACATTATGAGCAGGTTGAAGATTTTTGCTCTGTAATCATGTATATGATGGAATAAAGTAACATTTTCACACGATGAGTGGATGCTTTATATAGAGTGCAGTCCTGTCAGTCTGTGATGGAGCTCTAGATGGTGGCTGGTTAGTACAAACTAAGAGGCATGACTCATTAAGGATATTTTTTAAGTCCAAAGAAGTCCATGTGAGTATTTTAACGCAAAAGGAGCTGCCACTCCAGCACAACTAATTGAATGAATTTATCTGTTTTTATCATTTAAACGAAATAAACGATAATTATTTAAAAAAAAAGACTCTCTGAGTTGTTAGTCTGTTGCCAAAAGTAAAAAAGGCAATCATGATTTTTCTGTGTCTGTGTTTGACTGTTAGCAAAAATATCCCCTCAAACCACGTCTTTTAAGAAAACTCAGAAAGTACATTAATATGATTCCCGTTTGGAGTCAAACCAATTTGTGATGGCCACTGCAACTGAGTGAACTTTGCAAACTCAAAATAACTATAACTCTACATATTTTACAGATAATGACAAACATTTTTGTTGTGGTAGTAGCTTCACAACACATATTACTGCATGAGTGCTAACGGACAAGAACTTCATTGGAAATTTTGCCATTAATAAGACTTAACTCTATCCATCTGTTAGCAAAATATCTCTTAAACTACTGGGTAAACTTTAATGAATCTTTCAGACTGGATGTACATCTATAACTGACAAACCATCAGAGTTAATCCAATTCAAGATGGCCACCACAGCTAATCCATCTTTGCACAATAATAGCTATAACTCCGTCACTTTTACAGATATTATGCTAAAATTTGATGTGGTAGTAGCTGAGAGTCATTCACAGCACATACACTAAGTGTGGCATCTCACAAGATTTTATTTTAAGTTTGAATCAAAACATCTAGAACTTCATCATTTATCAACATAAAATGATTTTTGTTTAAAAGTTTTGCATGACACGTGGCGGGCAATTTGCATTCCTTTACATTCAAGATGGTACAGAATTTGTTTAAATTTCAATGTGCTGAAAGTGTTTTAGAGTGTCTGCTGTCAGATAAACACATCTGCAGCAGCTTTATCTTTGTGCTATCAGAAAAACAATATTTTTTAACTAACTCTTCAACATAAAAACCTGTAGAACTCCCACAATTGCAAATCTAAAGTTGTATAGATTTTACTGGAAAAATACATTTTGAATATCAAAAAGAAGTTTAATGAAAAGGCAGAGTGGCAGGTATCAAAGTGATTAATGTTTTTCAGTTGAAATGCTGCATTTGCTAATTTTTCTTTCCCCAAACCTGAACAGAAGAAGTGAAAACCACTGTGAGTGAGAAGAATTATATATATGTGTGTATATATATATATATATATGT